CCACCGTAATGATTACAAAAGCTCCGACGAAGGGCTAATGCTCGAAACATCAGCTTTTGTAATCATTACGGTGGCCAATTTACCATTTCAACTTTGTTGATATATCCAAATTATCTGAGTATGCATTGTTTGTGGCTGCTGTTACCACACATTTTGCTGAGTTAAATATTTGGAAATGTTTGACGAATGGGCAAGATACCTTCCTCTCAAAATGCCTGTCTACATCTAGGTGTATAAACATGTTGAACCAAACTGTCAAAATACCAGTGGGCAATGACGGAGAGGCATTCCCTCCAGCAGGAGAAGGTATACTCCTAAATGCTATCTCCTGCTGTGTTAAGCTAGGGCCAGTTCCTCAATACAACATATCAATAACATGTAGTGTAAAACACTGCAACATTAAATGCTAAGCAGTCATCTGTTTCATATCTACAAAGAAACCACTTCATTGTGACTTGCACTTGCATTTAGACTTCTTTGAACTTTTTGTCAACTCTACCTTATCATCAGTCTCAGCAAGTTCAATTTTAATTGTACCAGGGTCAACAGACCTTGTAAGAGTTTCAATCATTGTTTTGAACATGTGTTCAATTTTTTCAACTTCCAAAGCACTGACCTCCAAGTAGCTTAGCCCATTACGTTTGGCAAACTTTTCACCCTCTTCATGAGAAACTTTGCGATTCTCCTCTTGGTCAGTTTTGTTGCCAATTAGAATAATCGAAGGACTAGTTTCAGTACAGCAACGGCGGGCTTGTTCTAGCCACCTGGGAATGTTGTGGAAAGTTTCATGATTTGTTACATCACAGACAAGAAAAATACCATGTGCCCTACGAAAATACATTGCTTGCAGAGCAAAGTACAATTCTTCCCCAGCAGTATCCACTACTTCTAAACTAACAAACTTTGAGCCATACTTGAAAGACTCAGTGTTAATTCCCAAACTTATGGTTGCTGTACTCAAACAAATTTTATAATTTGGGTTTTGAAAGCGCTGAAACAGGCACGACTTTCCCACTCCTTTGTCACCTATGAAGAGGATCTTAAACTTGTAGTCATAGGTGGGTTGGTGACCCACCCTCTCAATTACAGCTTCTTCATCTATTTCATAACAATCAGACTGCTGCACTAAGTTCCACTTATGCTTCTCTAATTCTGCTTTAATATCTTTTGCAGATGGACGGCATACGCTGTCATTCTCCAAACACCCAAGTACTAAACTTTTTACTAAATGATCTCCCATCTTCTCTATGTCAGTTTTGCGGCGTTCATGTTCCCTGATCTTCTTTCCATCTGAAAGAGATACACATAGCAAAAGAGCTAAGTCAAAATCTTTGCAAGAGCCACTAGACTGAATCACTGTATTGAAACACAAAATGTAAACAAGGCATTTTGAAAAAAAGGTTCCCGTCAGCAGAAATTTAATGGCATTAGGATGTGATTTTGTTGAGTCATTAAAATATAAAAACAGTGAACTGCTGCAAGTTGAAAAATGGAACATCATGTGTGTGGTACATACTACAATTTTCAATTGAGTGCGGTGCAACAGATGTTTAGCAACCATGTTTTGATGTTAAAATTGTGTTGTAGTCACGGGCAAATATCTGCATTTCCGGTGGCAACATGTCTATTAACCTCTTTTGTCTATTAACCTCTTTTTGTGGGTTTTTACATCTGACAGTTGGCGACACAGCTCTTGAGATTCAGTTACATTTGGAAACGAGGAAAATTGCCCAAGACAACACAGTTATTTTATGACCAAAGCTCTATCACTAAACTTTTACTGCACTTGAAACACCTAACATTCATATATAATACCTTTGGTGATTGGAGAAATTGGCCAGACTACAGGTTCATGCCCAACAGCCATGGCTAGTAACATGACACCAAATGAAAATATGTCCACTTTAGGTCCATATTTTGGATTTTCCACCACCTCAAAATTCTGCAGAGCAGGATAAGTTTCTGGTGCTGCATAAACCGGTGTGCCTCGCACAGGGGTGGCATGCATTTCATACCCATGGATAAAAACTTTAGCCACACCCAACTCAGCGATTTTGGCAGTGCATTTATCTGTCAGTAGAATTTTCTTTGTTGCGAGGTCGCGATGGACAATTGGGTTTTGTAAGCCATGCATGTACTGAAGACCTTGAATCACGTCTAAGGCTATGCATATCAGATTAACTGTTGGGACTTTTGGGGACGACTTCGATTCTTTAATGAACCTTTCCAAATCACAATGCAAAAGCTCTGTAATAATTATAGGCAATCGTCCTTTAGGAAACACAACGTCATGGAATTTGACCACGTTAGGATGGTTGAGTGACTTAAGGATTTTCCATTCTCGCTGGAACTCTTCCCTTATGTCATCGATTATTTGGCTGTAGCCACTGTTAGCGAGAGCGGCGTGAAACCTTTTCGCTGCTACTTCTGTTCCATTCCATAAAGCTTTGTACACTTTTCCATAGGATCCCTTTCCGATTTCTCTTTCCAGCACAAGGTCCCTCACGTGAGACTCCAGTGACTCTTCCTCGGCTTGTTCCTGATCCATGCTACGATTTCGTAAATGCAGGTTCTTTCTGCTCCAATCGATGTGCTAAAATTTTAAAGAGGGACACCTTTGAGTGAGTACTTCCGCAACATGATGACAGACAAGATTCATAACAGTGAAAAAGGGTGATATTCTGTTTTGAAATATTTAGAGATGCAGATATAATAATCATATTAATTATCAGTCCAACACTGAAGCATATTTTTCTGGAATAGCAAACATTTATTAGGATCAAAATAATATGATTTTTAGGGAAAATGTGAGTTAACACTGTCATATGCAAAACTTATAGTTATGATGACATTTTGCTTTAAAGAAAAAGTATCTCTGATCACTGTTTGTTTCAATATTGTGCAGGTACTCGTCTACCAGATATGTAATTGTTCTCTGCATTCCTGTAGGAACTGAGTGGTTCAGTGACTCAACTCTTTTACCAGACTTTTTAATGTGGCGATCAACTTCGGCTCGTGTGAAAAAGGGAGCTTTCTCGAAAGACGTGTTCCATCCCGTGTTTGGAAAAGCTAACTTTCTTGGTTCAGGCAATGTAGAGTCTGAAGAAGAACTCTTCGGATAACTACTCTGCGAAGAAAGACTGTCCCTTTTCCTCTTTGTGTAAACATTGTTTTCATCAGGATCATAGATAAGACCTTCGAGGCCTCTACTAATGTATTCGTCAACTCTGAAGAGTAAATGTGAACAAATAAATTTACGCGATATATACAACAACTAGTTAATTGATAAACTACGGTTTTTAAAATCTGGTCATAATATTCACATTACTAAGTTGGAAGTTTTACTTATATGTTTAACTGAACGATTGGTAAAACTTCGCGGAATCGCATTAGTCTTAATTTAAATTATAAAAAACTCACGGTTGAATAAACTACAAAAAGCAATGATTAATGGACTTGATTGACAGGTGTTCTTCAAAACTGATATTTCATACAATACTAACATATAATACAGGCCCAATGCTTTGTGTTTGCGTAGTGCTGTGCGAAGGAAAATTCGCGGAATCGCGTTACAAAAACTTACCGTTTCACAAGAAAGAGGGACACCTTTGAGTGAGTACTTCCGCAACATGTTGAACAAACAAATAGGCTGCTACTGCTAATTTAAAAGGTAAACAGTAAATTTCAATGCAAACCAAGTAGGAATATCTGTGTTTACCTAAAAGAAGAAATTAAATTACATATTTCCAGCTAATTTCTGACACATTTAAGTGTATCTGTGGACGCTAAAATTTCCAAGCATCGCGACCACCATCAAAAAAATGAAATTTCTAAACACCATATGCAATACCCAAAATGTCCGTGAGCTGATGGATTATAATTTATTCAAAAAACATCAAAACGAGGACGGTCGGGCCAGTCATCTTTGTTGTTATTTGATCTTTTTACGCTGTTCTCTTGCTAACTAGTCGTAATATGGTTTTAAATTGTTGTTGTCCCTTTGTTTACTACGAAGACATACGTGATTAATGGTGACACGATATCTCATTTTCAATTTCCAAGTGATAAAGCACTGAGACAAAAATGGATTGAGGCAATTCGAAGAGATGTTGGTGATAATTTTGTGATCGACGACCGTCATACCAAGGTGTGCAGTAGACATTTCAAGGCGAGTGACTTCACGAAAACCCTTGCAGGTCTGAGAAAGCTGAAGCAAGATGCTGTCCCTTCGATTTTTCAGTGGAAACAGGATTCACCACCGAAGCGAAAGGCTCCCAAAGAACTGCGCGTATTGAGTCCAAAGAGACCACGTCCACGACCACGTCAAATAGTAACACGGAACCGACTTGTATTGAACCCAAAACAAAAGAGTTTGCCTGTCAAACGAATATAACTCTCGCTGAATTTAATAATGTATCGGAGAATTCTTCAAGGCTGCCTAGAGTGTTGGACAACACAAAATCATTAAACGAAGCTGTAACTGAATTACAAGATCAGATCATTGATAAACCACGCCCTTCACCAGTGCATCTACCTATTGCTTATCCAAGATTGAAGTGGGGACTGCCCTATAAGCATTTACGAGGAGCAACTAAGATTTCCAAAGTGGTGATCTGATTTAAGAATTTCAGTACTAGTGTGCCTTGGCTGAAGAGGCTTATAACGCATACCGTTACTATACCTTGTGGATCAGTGAACCTGAATTCATGCAGAGAGAAGCACCGAGACAAAGGGTACCATATATTTTCTCGAATAAGTGTGCACCGGCACTCGAATGAGCGCTCTCCTATGAATAAGCGCCCACCCCTCGGCCATAATAATATCAAACAAGCACCCCTCTCGAATATGCCCCTCTCCCCCCCACAGGTGGCCCAGGGTCTGTCACAGCTCTTTCACGGTGGATTATTATAGAGGTTGTATAGTGGTTTCGTTGGACTTGCTTTTGAGCTCCGTAAATTTCAAGTTGTGTGAAATAATAAAAGAAATAGTCTTACCTTCATACAGAGTAGTCTGTGCTGTTCTTGTCGCGATTTGAGGCCGTTTTGTTGTGTTTCAGCTCAACTTCCTAGCACTACCAAGTGAAAGGGAAGGTAGAAAACCTCTGTCTCACACACGCTCGCCAAAATTGCTCGAAAAACACACTTAAATACTTCCCCTTGAATCGAAACTTGGCAGCACGAAAGCCAAATGGTTGCCCTTCAAGTTCATCAAAACAAATCCCACAAAAGTTGGGTTGTCGAGCTACCAGCCCAGCGAAAATCGCAAATTTACAGCGATTTCAACGTCGTTAGAATGCGCGTCCATCAAAACGTGTGCAGTCAAAAGTTCGTTACGACGCATTCAGCCTGGACATTAGCAAAATTAGACCCAATGGGTAGCCCCACGATATGAATGATTAG